CTCGACCCCAAGACGTACCGGCGCAGCTACACGCACGCCAAGCCGCCCGACTCCTACATCTCGCTCATCACCATGGCCATCCAGCAGTCGCCCAACAAGATGCTGACGCTGAGCGAGATATACCAGTGGATCATGGACCTCTTCCCCTTCTACCGCCAGACCCAGCAGCGCTGGCAGAACTCCATCCGCCACTCGCTCTCCTTCAACGACTGCTTCCTCAAGGTGCCGCGCTCCCCGGACAAGCCGGGCAAGGGCTCCTTCTGGACCCTGCACCCCGACTCGGGCAACATGTTCGAGAACGGCTGCTACCTGCGCCGCACTCCAGCCCCCCGCCCTGCCAGGAGCACAAGCGCGCCCTGGCCGACCTGAAGGGCAACCCGGCGCTGAGCCCCGCCGGCCAGGCACCTTCGCCCGCCCAGCAGCAGCAGCAGCAGCAGCATCACCTGCTGGCTCAGCACCACCCGGGGCTGGCGCACGAGGCGCACCTCAAGCCCGAGCACCACTACGCCTTCAACCACCCCTTCTCCATCAACAACCTGATGTCGTCCACGGAGCAGCAGCACCCCCACCACCACCCCCACCATCACCCCCACCACCACAAAATGGACCTCAAGGCATACGAACAGGTGATGCACTACTCCGGCTACGGCTCGCCCATGCCCGGCAGCCTGGCCATGGGCGCTGTAACGAACAAAAGTGGCCTAGAGTCCTCCCCACTGGCTGGAGATACTTCTTACTACCAAGGTGTGTATTCCCGACCCATCATGAACTCCTCCTAAGGCGGGCTCCCTCTTGCCACCAGCCCTCCCCCTCCCTTATTCCATCCCCTCCTCCCCATGCAAGGGAGGCCCGGACTTTGATCCTGATGATGGTAATGATTTTCGTTGGCTCCAGATGTTGTGTAATTTGGGACTTGCTAGTTCTGTGTGCTACACATCCGCCCGCAAGGAGGACAACTTCCCACCCAGCCAGCCTGACCCCAAATCCGCCTGGCTTTGGATGGGGCCCATAGACGCCCAACCACTTTAAGCAACAATTTGAATTTGGGGGGGAGGGAGAGGGAGGTGGGGGGGATTTTGTCTTGGTTTATTTGCTTCGTTGGGTTTTATTATTAATAATAATTATTATTATTTTGAGGGGGAGGGGAGGCAACCTTTTTTTTTTGGTGGTCGTCGTTGCAGGGAGTTCTAAATATATCTATTTTTTTGTGTGGAAGTGGACTGGAAAACTTATTCCGTGTGAAACCATGTTCAATTTTTAAACCGAGGACCAAAAGTCTTTGAATGCTGTAAAAAAAAAAAAAAAAAAAAAAAAAACCAAAAAAATCAAAAAAGAAAAAAAAAGAGAAAAATGGAAAAAAAAAAAAAGTCAGGCTAGATTGTTGTAATTGATACAAACGTTTGATGTTACCGGGAGAGTAAACTACTTGGATCTGATTAATTTATCGTTTCTGTATGCTTTATTTATGGCTTATAAATGTGTATTCTGGTAGCGAACAGCCAGATTTTCACAAAACTATATTAAAGTGTTATTGGCGTTTTTTTTCCCTGAATCTTTTCTTCAGATTCCTAATAATATCCCGCCCCCGCCTCACGATTTGAAACCCCAAGGTAAAATAGATAAAGTGGGGGTTCCTTTTAAACGCGGGGTAGGAACTGGAAAAAAAAAGGCAACTGGATGACAGATCTATCTGTTCTCTCTCTATGTTATAGATATTTGTATAGTCTTTAATACATATTTCTATAATCCTAAGATCTGCAGGGAGAACAGCTCTGCAAAGTATGCCAGACATATAGCCACACATATATGAAAATGACATGAAAGATGCTATGCACATATATGTGTATCTTAAATACTATGATCATATATGTGTAATGTACCTATAGCTGCAGGCTCTCCCTTTGCCTGAACAAGGGTGCTTGTGCCTCAAAGCTTGCCCAGAACAATTTTTCCAACTATTTAGTTGGTCTAATAAAAGATATCACATTTTCCAAAGAACCTTGTGTACCTATAGTTGTACATTTTACAGAGTATGCTTATATATGTATAGGTTAGATATATAATATGTATAGCTTAGAAATATAGTATGTATATCTTAGCTATTAAACCTAGATACATGAGTATGTGGGATCTTATACCCATATCTTAGCTGTAACGAAAATACCTCAGATGTTGTGCCAATATCTTAATGTATCCGCTATTATACCAGTAAATGACCTATCGTAGATATTACACTTGTATAGGAATAGCTCAGATCTTATGCCAATGTACAAATGTTAGGTACTTTATATGCCTAGGGATCATTTTTAAAGGCGCATACACTTTCGCCTGTCAAATGCTAACCGCCGAAGAACATTTTCAATGAACCCTGTCCAGGTTTTTCTCCTTTTAAAATAACCTCGCGGCGTGGAGGTTATTCCGGGATTACTAAAATCCCAGTTTTTCCCTGCCGGGCTATTCCCTCCGCCTTGATCCTTGTCCCCAACAAGTTCCTCCTTGAGCTTTGTCCCCAGCAAAGCAGCTCCCCACCTGCCATGGGGGACCGGGCAGTCCTAGCCTGCCCCAGCCACCCCGGCGCCAGGGGATGGCAGCCCAGCCCGGCTGGAGGGTCCGGGGCGGTGGAGTCCGCAGAGGCCCCGCAAGGTATCAGTGACCGTGGAGGGCAGCGCTAGTTTAGCTGGGTGACTTGGTTGAATGGAAAGCAAGCAGCCCGGAGACAATTAGTCTGATGAGAGGCGGGAGGGGCCGCCGGAGAAAAGGTGGATGCGGGTGAAGTCTGTCCGAGCTGTGATTTATAGAGCTAACAGCAGTCGCGCGTTAAGGCAGCTTCTGAGCCGTGTGGCCGGGGAGCAGGACTGGCCAGCTGTGCAACAGCAGCTGCACTGCTCACCCTCCCTCCCGCAGCCCTACCCCACTCCAAACTTAGGGCCCGATCCTGCCTCTCTTTTCCCTGTGAAAGGGTACTAGACACTTGAGTTCGGGCGGGGCGGGGCGGGGCGGGGAGGATGGAGAGAAGGGAGTCTTTTTTTGTCATCAGACTAAATCGGAGTAAATCCTGAAGGGTGCTGAGCGCATATGCAGCCGCCGGCATCAGAAACGTGCCGTGTGAGTCTGGCATATCCCAAACATTTCCAAAGGGCACATCACTGCGTTTTCACGCCTGCTGTGAACACTGGCAGTAATAATAATAAAAGCATGGATGATGTATGCACTCTGATGAAAACAGCTGGATGTGTCCCTACGCACCCGCTAGAGTGAACAGAACAACCCAGCTGTGAGTTCATATCGCACTGGCGCCCGCATGTAATCTCAAATCGCCGCCAGTCCCTCTCAGCGACAATAAAACGGTTGAATAGACCAAAAATACAATTCAGCTGCAAGGGCCCGATCACGCTGGAGTAATAAGAGTGCAGTGGAGCTGGGGTAAGACATAATAGTTTGTGAAGACCTTTCCTCAAAGTTCCTCAAAGTCTCCGCCTGCAATTAGTCTGTATATGGGTATTTAGTTATTAAGAAGAAAATAGCTCTAAAAAGAGGGAGGGGAATTATATTTTTAATTTCCAGAAATATATACATACACGTGTATCTATCGCTCAGGCATATACTGAGTATACATATAGTGTATATACATACATACAAACAATATATATATATATGCAGAGGTAAAAGGTATACACAATAACTATATTACATACACGTATTGATATAATTTGCAGTTATGAAAACGCATATATTCCCTCTTTTAGAGCTTTTTTTCCTTTATAGGTATGTGTATTTACACACCCAAACTACATATGCGTGTGTATGCACATATATGTGTATATATGTACACACACATACGCGCGCGCGCGCGCGCACACACACACACACACACACACATATATATATAGAGAGAGAGAGTTGGTGTGTCCACACAGATCTTTAATATACATATACATACATACATATATATATATATATATGTATATATGTGTGTGTGTGTGTGTGTGTGTGTATGTATACACACATATACATACATACACAGATGTATGTATGTATGTCTATACAGATGTATGTTTTTATGTATATACGTGCACACGCAGGACAACAGCTCTAAATATATTACCAGCTTCTATGACGTGTTTAAAAAATAATGGAGGTTGCAGTGAGGGTGAAAACTTCCCCATATCGGTTTAGTTATATACGAAGAAGAGAGAAACGATGATATAATCTCATAATAAGTAGCTTTTGTGCAGAATTATATATGTGTATACATACACGCTCTGCTCGTCTATATAAAACCACATTACCTATGCTGTATTGTAAACAAACGATATATGGAGTGCATGGAGCAGCAGTCGCTGGTTTTTCCAAGAGAGTTGACCCTGTTAAATGAAAGGCCTTATAACCAAGGGTTGTTTTATAAACCAAGAACGGTGTATGATATTTTAAGACCTCCTTATGCTCTGAGCCTTGCAAACCGTCCCCGAGATCTGCACCGGATTTATCTTCTTTTTTTTTCATGCAATAAACTCTTCCCCTTTCCCAACCACTTGTTGTGTTCCCACGCGTTTAAGGAGTCATAGATTCGCCGTCTCCAAAATAACATTCAAATCCTTCTTAAAATTCCGCATTGTTCGGGGGAAAAGAAGAGGAGAGGGGTAGGGGGGGGAAACCCCCCTCCAAAAACAAAACAACACTAGGATCCAGCCAGAAATCTGTCCGTCTCTATACTGCAAGGACACACACGTTGTGAACCACAGCATAAAATGTGTTTCATTATCACATAAAAGGCGCCCGTAGGGAAGGAGAATAGAAGCCGGGTGATGAGGCTGATTTGGAAACAATGGAGCACGCCAGTGATGCTCTAACCTGGTATGTTCTATATCACATGCCCATTGTTCCGCGCTAGTTGGAAACTACTTAGCTTCTCCCACCCCGCTGATCCCCAACAGATAAGATATAGTCCTGTCCGAATACAGAAAAAAGGATGTCACTGGCATGCCTGATCCTTTTTTGTTTCACATCCCCTTCCCCGCCCCCCTTCTTTTCCCGTCTTATTTCCCCTGGACACATTAAAATCCATACATCCTGGACTCAGTAGGGGGAAAAATGGATCACACGCTATTTCTTTCCCCATATCCCCGCCACTCCAAGTGCTTAAGCAACCGTGATCTGTGAATAAACAAAGTCAGTAAACAAAAAAGGGGAGAGAGAGAGAGAGAGGGAGAGAGAGAGAGAGAGAGAGAGAGAGAGCGAGCAAAAAAAAAAAAAATCTAGATTCAAATTCCAGGAGGGTAAACTTTCAACACCACGTCATACTTCAGCAAATTTACACAGATATTATATTGTGTCCCTTTCAATTTTTTTTTTCCTTTTGAGCCATTGTGCTTAACTGAATTTTATAAAGCTGATCGATATCTTGGTAAAATATTCATTTTTAAACTAGCGGGCAGTGAAATCTTTGCTTTGTGCTAAAGTCAACAGTAGCACAGTTTGAGCTCAAATAAATGCTGTGATGCCTCCGCTCCAAGCAGTTGGTCGCGTCTCGCTAATGCTGGATTGTCATCGCCTTCAAATGCGCAGCTCAGGGGGGCATCAGGTAGGTGGATTCCGTGCCTATATCTATACCTATCTCTATCTGTTTTAGAAATTCCCATCTTCAGCTCCCCATTAAAGGAGCGAGCATCTCTTGCTTCCAATTAAAGCCAGAGGGAGAAACACTTTCCAGGCTGCAAGAGGGGAGGGTGCAAGATCAGTTCAAGGGGGCTTTTTGATCCTCTCTGAAGTTCTTGGAGTGAAACTGGATCGGTTGCAACTGGTTGAGGACCAAGATTTGGATCCCGGTGGCTGGGGACAGAGGCGAGGCAGCCTAGTTATTATTATGAGTAGCAAGCAGTGTTATCTTCTTATTATTATTTATAATAAAAGATGCGTGTTTGGGAGGAGGTAAAACTTCCTACTGGTAAAAATAAAGTGAGAAAAAAGGGAGGGGGTGTGTGTGAAAAAAATAGGCAAATGCAGTAAAGAAATAGCGGGACCAGCA